CTGAGGAATCGATTGTGTTTTATTCTGGAGTTTCGTTGTTCTGTTGATTATTTCCGATATTTCGGCAATGATATACCCAAAAGTTATTCTCAAGATATATCTATGGTTACGGTATGTGAGATATTATATGAGCAATAACAATAAGACATTGATTGTCTGGGGGAGAAACCTATGACATTAATGCATCTTTAACTGTTATGTTTTAAAATATGATATTGTTGGTCTAATAAGGGCAGTTTTGAATTAAGAATGAGTGTTATGTGTATTGGGAGGGGGTCTTGTTAATTGGGTAGATTTCAGGTAGATTACCAATCAATACAGTTTTGCCTCTTGATTTTGAATCTTTGATAGATACCCAGCAGAGTGAAGAAACAGCGTTGCCTATATTCAAATTCTGGTACATGGTACTCCAATTACAAGTTCTGGGTCTAACAAACGTTAGAGCTGTGAGACTTGGGGACTTCAAGCTCTACAAAGAAACTATCATGGAAATCATGCCATGGTTTGTCTCCCTGGATCATACCAATTATGCCCGCTAGGTACCTGTCCGGTCCATGTAAGTGATATGGTTCAGCTCAAAGAAATCCACCCTGAAGTTCACAATAGTTTCATGAAGGGGCATTTACAAGCAAGTCAAGAAAAAGCTTCTCCTCCATCTCAATAGACCAAGCCCATGAGCAAAATAATAGTGTGATCAAAAGTGATGGTGGAGCTGTGGGGTTGTTCGACAATCCAACCGCATTACAGAAGTGGATGGTCGATGGTCCAGAGATCGCAAGAATGTTAACTGAGTTTGAGGATGAGATGAAGAATAATGATGGTCCTTGCAAACCATGAGCACAGTGTTAGTTATCAAAGCAGTTTCAACAAATATGTCAATTCCCTTACTTAGGTTATCAATGATTTAGGAAACCCCTTTATTGCAACATCATGTCAAGCAGTGCAGTTGACACATTGAACACAATTGAGAAAAGGGGGAAAAGTCAATGTGAAGTATATATAAAGGAGAGAATTATTGAAAGATCAAAAGCCATCACCAGACCCTATCAAGAGAAACAATTTCAAGATCTTCAAACAAATCTAAGTCAAGTTCAAAGCTAGCAAGCTTGAAAAATGACACTGCCCTATTTTCACAACTATACATAGCGTGCCAGAATAGAGACGGCAACTTAGATGAACTTTTCCGACATGAAAACCAGGCATTCCCTCCATCCCTTTCACAAGATGGCACAATGAAGACTGGACTCAAAGCAGATATCTTAAAACCAGTGGAAGACCTTGTTCCAAATAGAGAGATCAATACACTAGATGTTGAAGCCCTGTTTCTTGATGGTGCCGTAATAGTCCACCTGCTGAAAACTCAAGAAGCGAAAACCTTCCTACAATACTCAAATGACATATTTAAAAAGTATACTGCAGATCAACTTAATAGAGTACAAAGACTTGATATTGTATGGGATCAATATATACCAAATAGTGTCAAATCTTCAACAAGAAAAAAGCATGGATCTGGAAAGCGTCAAATAGTTTATCCAGAAAACAAATTGCCAGGAAATTGGACAGAATTTCTACGCTCAGATGACAAGAAAAGTGATCTCTTTACCTTCCTTGCATCAAATGTCTCAGCCATTCCAGTACCAGAGAATAAAATCCTGATTACAACAATTGGGAATTCTGCAGAGGCATATCCTAAGCAGCATGTTTCTGAGATTTCACCATCATCCCATGAAGAGGCAGATTCCCGAATCTTTCTGCACATATATGATGCAATGAAAAAAGGCTTCACAAAAATGACGATTAGACCAGTTGATTCAGACATTGTTGTTCTGGCAGTTAGTATAGCTAGCTGCACAACATAACATTCAAATCTGGCTCACCTTTGGCAAGGGAAAGTCCTATAGATACCTTCCAGCCCACGAAATTGCCCATGAAATGACTCCTCAGAAAGCCATGTGTTTCCCAATATGCCATGCTATGACTGGGTGTGACACCATATCAGGCTTTAATGGAAAGTCTAAGACATCAGCCTGGAACCAATGGAGTACCTACCCTGAATTGACTACACTATTAACAGAAATCTCAATACGACCCAATACCCTGCTTGATGCATGCCTATTTTAGAGCAGTTCATTATTCTGGTCTCCAACTTAAAACAAGCAATGAAACATCAATCAATGCTGCAAGGAAGGAGATGTTCACAAAGAGGACTTCAATAATATCACACATTCGTCCAACATCAGATGCCCTTTTACAGCATATGAAGAGAGTCATATACCAAGCTTTATCCTATGCCAAGTAGAGTTTTAGGGAGATAAGTTGGTAAGATATATCCCGTATCCTGATTTTGAGGTTTCCATATCCAGAACCTCAATATCTCCCGCCATATCTCCCGCTTCGGTGCATATCTTCTCGCTTCGGTGCATATCTTCCCGCTTTCTGTAATTTCACTGAAAACTCTACTTGGTATAGGATAAAGCAGTTATGTACAGTCGGTTTGGATATTGGTTTCATCCCTCGTGAGATATGCACATCTACCTTCGGTCCCTACGGTCCCTCGGGTAGATATGCATATCTCCCTCTGGATAAACCCCATATCCAAAACCTCCCAGTACATAACCCTTATGTATTTATTTGGGGGCAACCACTTACAGCAATTTCCTCAAGTTCCTTCCCTAGCTGAGTGGGGCTGGATATTTGAAGACATCAAATGAATACCAAGGTGGACAACCTTACCCCAAGCATCAGATGCTTGCCAGGCTCTCATTAATGTAGCTGCAAAAACCAATGCATATCTACATGATGCAAGAGCCTGAAAGGAAATCTTGTTTGTATAGCATTATGTGTGTGTGATGGCAATTGTTCTTCATAAGGACACTGCAACATACCAAAAAGTAACTATGATACTGATAGACACTAGTATAAATCCTTCTATTGATAAGATTAATAAAACTATGATTTAAAAATGTGTGCAAAGTGAAACTAAAGGAACTATGAAACAGATATAGATAGTTGATATATGGAGTCTAACTGCACTCAGAAGCCAAAAGAAACCACAAGTCAAGCCGTATCGACCATTTTTCTGTATATCTAAAAGATGGGTGTGACTCAAAACAAGCCTTTAACAGTGACAAAGGTGAAAAATAAAAGTCATGCGAAACATTAGATATAGATGTAATTTTAAAATCATATATCACTTATTTGATTTACTCCTGCTACTGTGATATGTTGCAAAATATTCAATACAAGAAAAGTGGGCGTCGCCCATCACCACCCTTTAACGTAGCAATCGAAAATCAATGCTATTTCATATTTTTACTTCAACATTAACTTCTTAACATGATAAGGTAATATTAAATTTGAAGTATGAGCATAATTTAGTAAAAAAAATTGTGTCAAATTTTTTTTAGCCCCCCCCCCCTCCGTGACCATGGGGGGGGGGTAAGAATTGTAAAATTAGGGTAGTTCCTATGAAGCGATTTTTTGGCACAGTTGCTTTATTTAAAGAGTAGCAATCAGTGATCATTTGAGGAAAGTTTCACGATTTGTTCCGCAAACGGCGATTACTTTACACTATTTATCCCGCTACAATGGATTTGCAATAAACAAAAGAATTATTGTGTACAAAATTATACAGTTGGTGTTGGAAGAAATACTTACACGCTTGCACACCTTTGAATAAAAGCTGAGGTGAGCCTTAAAATTTCAATATTAACTTCTTTTGGCAGACTTCTGTCTCCATACAAAAACAATGATAATTTGTCTTGCTGGTTTTTAAATGCTGGGTAATTAAAATTTAGAAGAGTAAGTGCATCCTCTAAATCTTTAAGATATTGTGATCTAAGGTTACAAGTCATATTACCATGGTAACAATACTTGGTGAGTGTCCATATAGAGTCCTTCCTTTGATTATCCACACGGACAAAGTTCTGTATCATGGCTCTAACATGTCTAAGGTGTTATTTTCAAATCTTTGAATAAGATGCGTAGCATTGAGTGCTAAGTTTAGGAAACAATGCCTGGGTACTTAATCAAATATGATACAAAGATTGATTTGCATTAATATTGAACCGAGAAAAAAACAATTTACATAGAAAACGGCATTTGAAGTTAATAGATCATTAGTAGTGCACATCCATGTTTGCCAAGTGCAAGTTTTAAATAACTCTTGATTTAAAAGATGGCGACACTTCTATAAAATGAATGGATCCTCTAATACTAACAACCTCACCATCTTTCATTGACATTGATAAAAATTTGATATATAAAACCATCTCTTGAAAGCCCATTATAAAACTTGACAGATTGAAAGTATGATAATTTTTTATTGTAAGCTTTGATGTGGGGGTTTGAGCTATTTTTTGGTGTCCATTAAAGATAAAGTACTTATCAATCCATTGGAAATACTATGAAGTCAAAAAGTAAGTCCTTATTTTGCCAAAGAATGTTGAACATTCTTGAAAACATGCCTTTAAAAGACATGAAATGACTTGAAAATGATAACATATGTCCAGATAATTTTTTTTGTATATTGTGTATAAATAAGTCTAAACATGACGTTTCATTGAAATAAAATGTTATTCATATCAAATGTCTTTTGTGTGATGTTTTTGCCTGTAAACTATAAACCACAAATAGAGTTGCATAGTTAATGGAATCACTGACATGTAAATAGTGTAAACCTAAGCAGTGTACTGCAAGAAATGGTCATTTTTATAAAATACAAGTCAATGAATAGATCAGGACACATAGTATATGTTAAACATGGGATATGTAAAAGCGAGGTATTAGTATTAGCCTTTTATATGCTTACGCACATGCTGGCAGGAGAATGATCAGATGCTGAGAAATTATAAGCTGTTTATGGATGTTGAACATCATTCAAATAAAACTATATGTTGTCTGCATCATATTAGTCAAAATGTGGAGTTGATGATATGAGATAAAAGGAATAGAATGACTTGTAAACTTAGAGACATGAAACAAAAGATATAGGGCAGGGCAGGAGAGAATGATTTGAATACATGCAGAGACATTGAATTGAAAAGATGAATATATTTAATATTTATTGAAAACAAAACATATTTATTAGAATCCCACACACAATATATAGTCCACAAGGCTGCTTATATGTAGTCTAATGGAGATTGGAATACAAAACTACAGAATGACAATGCTTACAATTTTTATGAGACTCTCTTTAGTTGTCTTGGCAACCACAACAGTTGCTATGACAAAGAAAGAAGTTGAGGATGATACATTAATGAATATACTGCATGAATATATACAATTGTCTCACAGTCAAGTTAACTCTGATCTGTACAAAAAAGAGTTTGACTTTAGAAATGAACAAGACAATGCAAATGAACAAGACAATGTAAATGAACAAGACAATGTAAATGAACAAGACAATGATAATGAACAAGACAATGATAATGAACATTATAAACCAAATATTAAAAATAAACTGAATGTTATTAAGGAACTATATGATGAAGAGCTAAACAGTCCTACCAATGGAAAGGAACTAGATAATGAAAACCAATATCAAACTGGCTATAGTGATAATGACTTTGCGAGAGAATGGCTGAAAATATATGATAAAGAAGCAACTGCGCACCTTAATAAAGAAACTCTCCTAGACTGGCAATATAACACTAATGTTACGGAAGAACATTCCAAAGCATCTGTTGAATATAGCCAAGTTGTAAATAAATGGCTCCAGACAAAACTAGTCGAGGCAAGAAAATTCCATAATATATCCGACCCAGATTTAAAGCGTCAGCTGAAGCTTATCACGACTACTGCTGAACCAAATGATCCAGTTATTGCTAAGAATATTGCAGAGGTAACCAAAGAAATGGAAAGTATATTTGCACAAGGAAAGCTGGAGAAAAATGGGAAGAAATTCAGATTGATACCTGAACTGGATGAGGTTATGGCAAAAAGCCGAGATTACGATGAGTTACTATGGGCTTGGCAAGGCTGGAGGGACAAGACAGGGCGATTAATTCGAGGTGCTTACTCTGAGAAAGTCCAACTTGAGAATATGGCTGCTGTTGAAAATGGTTACAAAGACAATGGTGAATATTTAAGAGAAGGTCAATATGAAATGGAAATAACTGATATGGTGAATGATTTATTTGAGGCAATTAAGCCAGTGTATGAAGAGTTGCATGCCTATGTGCGGAGAAAGTTACGTGGATATTATCCAGAAGCAGGAATGTCAAAAACGAGTCCTATACCAGCACATTTGCTTGGCAATATGTGGGCACAAGATTGGACAAACATCTATGACATTTTGATTCCTTATCCAGAAGTTGCATCCCTTGATGAATCAAAATGGATGAAAGAACATGGATTTTCACCAATGAAGATGGTGGAAACAGCAGAGGAATTCTTCACATCGATTGGTTTGGATCCAATGACTAATGAATTTTGGGAAAACTCAATGTTCACTCGACCAAAAGATCGTGAAGTTGAGTGTTATGCATCTGCTGAAGATTTCTCAACTGGTAGTGATTATAGAATAAAAATGTGTATTGAGGTAAATATGGATGACCTTGAAACGATTCATCATGAAATGGGACAAGTGGAGTACTTTATGGCATACGCCCACCAGCCTGTAGTTTACAGAGATGGTGCAAATCCTGGCTTCCATGAGGCCATTGGAGATGCTATTGCCCTCTCTGTTATGACTCCAACTCACATGGAAAAGATTCAGTCAGCAAGCAATGGAGAACAGGCAAACAATGGGGAACATGCAGATAATAAAGTGAGGACACACAAATATAAACAAATGATTAATTTTTTATTTAAAATAGCACTGAAGAAGATCGTATTTTTGCCATTCGCATTACATATTGATTCATACAGATGGGACATATACAATGGTAGAACCAACACTAGTAATTATAACGTGAAATGGTGGAACTCAAGGCTTAAATACCAAGGGATCAGCCCCCCTATTCCTCGCACTGAAGATGACTTTGATGCAGGGTCTAAATACCACGTGGCCGCCAATGTGCTGTATATTCGATACTTCTTCAGTCATCTTCTACAGTTTATGTTTCATGAAGCGTTATGCAAGGAGGCTGGCTTTTCTGGGCCATTGTACGAGTGTGATATATACCAATCTAAGACAGCTGGACAAAAACTGAAAGACATGCTCTCTATGGGGCTAAGCAAACCATGGAAAGAGGCCCTGGGGGTCATCACGGGGAAACAACAAATGGACGCATCCTCAGTTATGAAGTATTTTCAACCATTGATAAAATGGCTAAAGGAAGATAATGTAAGACATAATGAAACCCCAGGTTGGGATGTGGATGAACAGACGTATCGTATGAAGATAGATGATGGTGGTCTATACCCTGTTGAGGCTCTCGAGAGTGAAATATTAGATGCTATATCATAAACAATACAATAATATACATTGGCTGTGCTGCCACATCAAATTTTGCAGAAGTTTAGTGCATTAAACATCTGGACACCCCTCTCCCTATCTATTTCTCTTGAGGGGGGGGGGGCTTCAAGCAAAGGCTAGAAAAGATTATAGCAATTTGTATATTTTTGAACGAAAATGAAAATAATGTTCAACAATAGAACTACCTATATCCTCTTTATACTCACATATAATAATGTCTTTAATTGTGCATGATGTAATTTAAATAAATAATTATTTGTTGTTGTTATTAATTGTTATTTTATTATTAAATCTCAACCAAGAACCAATAAACCCACTATAACTGTACTAATACATCCATATGGGGCATCACCATGTAAAAACAGTTGGGTCTTTAGGGCAAAACAATTGAAAAGATTGAACTGGTTGAAATGAAACGCACCCCCTCTTGTAATATAGCAATGCATATAGAACTTATTTCCCTGTGGTTCCTTAAAAAAATCGACAATTTTTGATTTTTGTATCCTAAGGTTTCGGAGAAATAGGATTCGGACGCCTGAGTTTCAGACGAATGGGATTTGGACGATTGGGATTCAGACGAATGGGATTCGGACTAAAGAAATATGTTGACGTGGAATAAAACATCACGTTAAAGTTTGTTTATTGAACAAAATCGATTCCCCATTTATATGTTTATTGGAAACATTACATTTATCATTTTACACCTTTGTATTATTTGCTGTCACATAAAGCTAACATTATCATATCAGGGTTTATTTTTGATTGCAGCTCTTGAAATATATTTATTTATTTTTATTTAGACATATGCTTTTAGAACAGCAGCACCCTAACATTTAAATGCTAGGTGCGTCTACATGTATAAAATCACATACTATTAAACATTTAAATAGAAATTGCTAAAATCATACAGTTCTTCGTTTAAAAATTTTGACTAAAAACTGCTTGACAATTTTGTCAAGACTAGAATTAATATCATGCCCCCATTCCCCCATGCCACCCATTCTAAACAAACATTTATGAGTTTGAAAATGTTTATCTCGTATTTATATAACAATGTGACTTATGGAAATGATGTAAGGGCAACATTTAAGTGGCAGAATATTTTGTCAAATATTTTCAATAAAAGTTATGAACGATGTTTCCATTAAGTAACTTGTTTTGGTTTAACTATCCCACCAAATGAAGTTCAGTACAGACTACAGATAGAAACCAGTTTTTCATAAAAGAATGTACCATCAGACTTGGTTGTAAATCGAAATTTAATACTGTAGCGTATAAAATACTAAGAAGTTATGTCACTATAATTTGAAATATGCCTGAGTTTTGACAATATTGGTTGACCTTATTAGGAGGCTCTATATTTGGGCAAGAATGAAGGCATATTTCACGTCATAGTTACATAACTGATGTATCACATATCTTTATCCCCATTGCTACTTTCTATCACTGATGTAAAATTTGATGGAAACTACACATTTATCCCGTTCCCGGGAACAGGATAACTACACATGACATCATGCTATTGTCATTGTTATTAAAGAACGCAGGCAATATTGGTGTAATCAGGCATTATCAGTGGACATAGCATGCTTACTTACCCATTGACTTCCATACAAATTTTTAGCTAGGAATGTAATGCATTAATGTACATGAATTAATGTACCCTAAGTGTCATACATGCTAATTATGCATTTAAATATTCACATCTAAGTCATAGATGTCACTTAGGATCAAAGCATCGTGTAAGTCTGTCACTGGGGATTTCAACCAAAAAGTGTCAGAATTTATCAAAGGAGCACATAGCTTATCGCAAACAATTTCAAACGATTCTAACTTGAATTATGAATATTTTCTGATCATGAACATGGGTGTATATTTTAGATCCATTCATTATCTTCAAGAAAAGTATACAGATAGATAATTTAGTTAATCAGACCTAGGTGATATTGAAGGGGCAATGGACCAATCAACATACTTTTTCAAAAATGTTGACCTAATTTTCACCAAAAATGCAACCTTTTATTATACCTTTTATTATATTGTTGAATGCATAATTAGAATGTGCTTTGAGACATGTTTGATTTCCTAAAAGGAAAAGTTGATTGCTCCAGGGACTTAAAAGATAATGCATTTGGATAATCAAAATGAACTGAAACCAATGGATAGCATGAAATTTTTCAATGGAGAAATAACATGGGGAACACTTATTTTCAGCAATTCAGTTTTTCTTTCAAGAACTATTTGATACATCAAAATAAAGAATAGTGATGCATTAAACATTGTAAAAAATGATTGCATTTTTGGTGAAAATGGGGTCAACATCTTTGAAAAAGTGTGTCGATGGGTTGATTGCTAGTTAAATATCTCCGAGTTTGTTTGACTTTATTATTACTGTATATTAATTTTCTATGAATTGATCTAAAAGATAAACCTGTCTTCATTGTCAGAAAATAGTCATAATCCAAGATATAACCTTTTGAAATTGTTTGCCATAACCTATGTGCTCTTTTGATATTTTTTCTAAAATATAAATGAGACTTTTTTCACAAAATGAATACTTAACTGTGATATGATTGGATGAATAATCAGAATACACATACCCCAATCTTATCAGGCCAAGTTTATATATATTTGTAATGAGTTTCATTCAAGCTATATTGTTTCTTTGTCTTAAAGTAAATAAACAACCTGTCCAGGAAACCAACATGGTATAGCAAAATGGGCTTATTTTTTAAACATAAGTTTCCTCAACAAAAGACATTTTGTTTTATACATAATGTATTTTATTGCTTGACATTGCATCACAAGCAATGTAATTAACATAGAACCAAATAAATACAATATTTAGAGATATAAATACAATAACCCCTATAGCTTAAATACAATCTAAGGTTTGTATGTACACTTTGAGAAGTGATTATTTACAAATGTTGAAGTCAAAGCACTACTTAAAATAAACAATAAGTCAATAAGTATATCACTGTTATAATTGTGTTTTATAAATAAAGCATGCACGGTTTCACTTTAATAAATTGTTTATTGTACAAAATGTTGCAACTTAAATTATCATAACATTTTATCTTAATGTACAAGTGTTTCACCTGACCCCCCCCCCCTTAGTTCATTAATTTTACAGTGAAGCCTGTATATTTGGAACACCTCCCATTATGAACACATTCTCTTAGTCCAAATTTTGTAGCCTACCATTGACACCCTTGTTAAATTGAACTGCTATTCTTAACACTTTTGGCTGGTCCTTCAAATGTGACAGGTTTTACTGTATAAGGTGGTTTACAGTTTATCAAAAAGCATTCATTTCACTTCTATCTTTATGTAATATAGGATTGTTTAAATGTGTACCACTGACCATCTACATGTAATAATCCAAAGTGAATAATTCCATAAGTGTCTCCGTCAATATTCATCGCTAATAGTGTGGTATTATTGGGCCTAAGAAACATCAAGCTTACAATTACAGATTTTGTACACCAAAACAGTGTTCTTTTTGGGAGTTTTCAACTTAAAGAGGTGTTCCTCAGTCATAACAGGTTTTACTGTGATGAACATCCTTTGGAGTGACCTCTATTAATGTAACATGATGTTTTTATATATATGTACAGTGTCAGCCTATTGGACAGTTCAAGTGGACAAGTCACAATGTAAAAGTAAAAATGGTAACTTTAAGGCCACACAATCAATATTGAATCCTCGTTTAGCGTCCACTAGATTGTTTTCTGGGTATTCCCATTGGATCAACTTCACGGCACACATACCCAGGACTTTTAAGTCAGGGGACACACCATGTACAAAATAGATCAAAATGCACTATGGGAGTTCACAAATGCTTACAATGCAGTGCTTTAAAGCCTCAAGTTTTATTCAAATGAGGGATAATACCTAAGTAAAGCATTTAGTCCCCATGGCATGTTTCATACTACATTCTAATCACAAACACTTGGCCAATCAGATAAATCTATTTCCTACAAAAACCCTTCTTGATCCTTTTACATTTTTTTAATACAAATGATTCTAATACTGTCTTTCAAAATGGACATGGGCAACACTCTTACAGGAGAATACTACGTCCATCTCACAGGATGCAACACTAGGGAATTCTGGGAAAATAGCCAATAATCATGGTTTTATATTCTTAAAATCAAAAAACTTGCGTCAAATCTCTAGAAGAGCTAGTTTCTATGCGAACACATGACCTATCTAAATAAATAATGTATAACAAAAAAAAATCTTGAAAAGCCAAGGTATCATTAATAATCAAACAATTCAAATTATTTTCTTTTTGGTAAAAATGATTCAATCCAACACCCATTCGCGCTTTGCTAAGTCTCATTATCAATTTAGACTTTTCGACAGAATGTTGCTCAGCCTCGTGAAAATCATGATCAATTTGGAAATTACAAGTCAATGTAAATGAATGAATAACAAGTAAAGGCTGTTCTCCAGTCTGTGCATTAGACTGTATTGGAGAGCTCACTTAAATGGGACACATGTGTGATGTATCCTCAGAATCAGGAAACTGAATCTAATATGACATCTTTACATTATAAAATAGTATTGTGTATGTTAACAAATATCTTTATATAATGAAATACAGGGTGTCCATAAATTCTTTTTTACACTTTACAGACTCTGAATTGTAATTGTAAAAAGACTTAAGGGACACACTGTATATCAATATTGGAACTGTGTCCATTTCAAAATTTCTGTATCACATAACTATTTGATCCACTTTTTTCATTATAAATGTATAATTTCAAAGTAAATGTGAACAATGTCTGTCTAGCTATACATGTACAATTCGAGTTATTATACATGTACAATTCTAGTCATTATACATGTACAATTGTACACACTCCTGTTTGCATTTAAGAAAATAATCAACTTCATTTTAAATGCTTTATATTATCGGAGGCCACTGTACGTGCAGCCTACACAAAGTAGCCAATACCATTGTAGATACAATACACTGGCATAGTGGGCATACATTGGCATATTTTCCTAGTAAATACATTGGCATCTTGGAGTTATATTCCTCTCTTAGAATCAAGCATCTGAACAATCAGATTGAGTTCTCGCTGACGATTTACTCTTCTTCTTACTAAAAAATCCAAGTTTCATTCCACCAGATTGTCCAGGATTTGGTTGCTGTTTGTTTGATTTACTGGTGGCTCCACCTGGTGGCTGCGGTGAGTCTTCACGGCCAGTCACACTTCCTGCTGTTGATGCCTGCAATTGATGGATAAATTAATGGTTACCAAGTATGATTCTCACTCTCATTTTTGTATGTTTTTGTCTATAGATTGACAACTATAGAGCAATGTGCAACAAAAATACACCAAAAAAATTATTAATAAAAATATACAAAAATCATATAATGGTTAAATTAATCAAATCAATACAAACTATTTAATTATGTATAGTAAAATCTATCTTATCCAAATGCCACTGGGATTGGCCAAAAGTGGATTGGCAGCCCATGTTTTCACATTTCAAGATTTTTGAACAATGGTAAGCCATGGTAGATTAAAGAATGGGATCTAAAAATTCAGATTAGAGAATTTTTGTATATACAGGTTTTAATGTACACTAAAAGCCTTATTTTTTAAGAGTGTGATATACTAAAATGTCCATGTATATTATATGGCCTGGAGTTCAACACTCATCAAATCATTTGCCATATATGCATAACATGGAGCCATATTTCGGCACTGTATTAATTAACTTGGATCTGAATAAATACTCATATTCTATATTGAACTCACCATGCCGCTGTCCAGTGATCCAGCACTGCCTCGCCTACCACCGCCATCTATTAAACAGATAGCATATTAAATGAATAAAATGTAAATTCATTTATTGCAAATATTTCAAAAAATCTGTAAATATACTGATAATAAGCAACAATGGTCTATTTCTCTTTTTTCAACTTTACCAAGATTAAATAAATAAAATCTCTAGGTTTTAATGATTCTCTTTGCTTTTTCTCATCATACGATGTCAATAAAAACTAATCAATAAAATTCATGTCTTACTTAGAAAAAATCTGAATGAAAATGTGAAGCATATGATGAATAAAATGTGAAACATTGACGTGCTGGACATGCATGTTGTGGGTGAACTTAAATATTGTTGGGTCTCTACGAAACGATGACGCCAATATGATACGACAAACTTCAGAGTTCAGAGTAACATACGATACTTTATTATATAAGTCCAACTATACTATCTATTTACAAGCTGTACATTACTGAGCTACTGTATTGACTAAGAGACCCAAATGTAACTCCAGATCGAACTCCAGATCATAACTGCCAGGGTGAGGTTTCGAAGCCTCTTATATAGTACTACTATTGGCATGTTGCCAAACCACAATTGGCAACCTGCCAATGACCAATTTGGCAAAGTGCCAATGAAACTTAATGACCAAATTATTCTAAGTTCTTACTGAAATGTCACTGAAAATGCTTAAGTCCAACTGTATGAATGTATAAAATTGCCTAAGTCATGAACCACTGTTGTTGCAAAATGACAGAGTCCAGCGCCTTGGTTGGATGTAAAATGTTTAAGTATTGAGATACAGGTTCGTGAAAATAACAGAGTCCAGCTAGTCTGGTTATGAGAAATGACTAAGTCTTGCCTATATGATGAGTGAAAAGAACAAAGTTGTGGCTTTTGGCTTCACTGATTTTGTTAAGTCTTGATGGACAGCTATGCTGCCATCTTTAGGTAAGAATTGAAACCTAGCATGACTTAGAAAAACCCAACAATATATCCATTCAAAGCATATAAGCATTTGTTCATGCTCTTTCCTACATGATTTCATCAAATCAAATGCGGGTATATTCAGAACTAAAGCATTATAGTGTAAGCATTATATAGCTGATGCATTTTGAATGTTCATTCCTCTGTAATTCAAAAAGGGAGAAATACCCAGAATTCAAAAATGTTAACATAGGTTTGAATTTTGGGTTATTTCCTCCTCTCCTCTGATCAATAATTTCAATGATAGAAAGCAGTCTACTTAATTGAAAAGAAAAAAATTAAAGCACATGTTATATAAAAGCATATTGTTGATGATGTCACAATAATGTAGCCACATTTACATATATTGATGATGTCACAATAATGTAGCCAACATTAACATATTGTTGATGATGTCACAATAATGTAGCCACATTAACATATATTTCATTGTTTACTAAAGAAGAACCCTATCAGCCAAATAAATCCCAAATATGACCAACCTCATGTTATTTTCTGTATCAATATAAGGGAATAGCAGGTTATTATGTATGGTATAAAGACTGTGCAAGAAGACAGAGGAAAGAATTATGTTATGAAATTATTACATTTTAAAATAAATGGATTTTAAATTTGCTATTCAACCTCCACCAAATTTTGGGTATAAGAAACTGTAATCAATTCCAATACACCAGATTTTCCATACTTAATCCCTACATCCTCACTACGTTTTCCCAATTTTATTTCAACACAGTATTTTCCCAACTCAATCCCTAGATCAAGTACTTCCAAAGATCAAGTTTTCCCAACTCAATCCCTAGATCAAGTACTCCCAAAGATCAAGTTTTCCCAACTCAATCCCTAGATCAAGTACTTCCAAAGATCAAGTTTTCCCAACTCAATCCCAAGATCAAGTACTTCCAAAGATCAAGTTTTCCCAACTCAATCCCAAGATCAAGTACTTCCCAAGATCAAGTTTTCCCAACTCAATCCCAAGATCAAGTACTTCCAAAGATCAAGTTTTCCCAAATCAATTCCTAGATCAAGTACTTCCAAAGATCAAGTTTTCCACACTCAATCCCAAGATCAAGTACTTCCAAAGATCAAGTTTTCCAAACTCAATCCCAAGATCAAGTACTTCCAAAGATCAAGTTTTCCCAACTCAATCCCTAGATCAAGTACTTCCAAAGATCAAGTTTTCCCAACTCAATCCCAAGATCAAGTACTTCCAAAGGTCAAGATTTCCCAACTCAATCCCCATATCAGATAAATACCTACACCATTTTTGTCTACTCAACCCTTCACCAAGTTTCCCATACTTCTGTAACATGCACAATTGTATCCCCTGAACACAATAAAACACATGTAAATAAAGCAACAATTGATAAAAGCCCTGCTTCAATTTCCCCATGCATACCTGTAAAGCTATCCACTGAAGTTTTGATCATTCGTTTACTGAATTTCAGCTAAATAATGTGAATGAAATGCTTGAATTTCAACATATCATTCCATTTTGAGTGTGTTTCACTTAAATCCCTTTTATTGTTCTGTTTAATTTTGTGTGTAAAAGCATGATCAAGGGTGGTGGATTTATAGAGGGGGGGAAGTGTAACGAAAGTTCACCCAAATCAGCATGCCTAGATTCGTAATGTCACCTTACACTTACTGTCCGCCAAATCAATAAGAGAGTTTGACAATGTGCTCTTCTTCAGGCCTCCGTTCACTTCTGGGGCACTCAATCGATTCAAACTACCATTTTCTGTAGGTTTTAATAACTCAATATCGACAACACCAGAATCGTTGCTACGACGATTAAATTCTAGATTTGTTGTTGTGAAGTTGTGGACCATTTTCTGTCGCTGAAGTTCTTCTTCAATTCGAATCGCTTCCATTTCATTCATCTGAAGAAGACACATATGATTTATCTTAATTGGTAATGAAACAATTTTTAAGGTTATTTTATTTGTATTAATCATACAGTGTTCAATATGTAGGCCAAATATGTTACCAAACAATGCTATGAATTGAAATGTATTTACTAAAACAATCGAGAGTAAATTATCCCAGAAATCATTTCAGAAGTAAATAGGGAGTTACATTCAAAGGGTACCAAAGCTTGTAACTTACAATCATATCAAAATGTTTGAAACATTGCATTGATAAAAACTAGAAAGTCAATAAATGTTGAATCGCAATCTTTGACATATAGACGATCTATACTTTAGTACCTCTAAGATGGCTTCCCGCAGGTCTTCCATGAATTTTGTTCTGTCATGTTCATTCCTTGCGTTGAACGTCATGAGGACTTTTCCATCAATGTTGGTGGTCAGTCGAATACCATGTTGGTAGTCTGGAAATTGAAATGTAATGAAATGAACAAATCAAATTCTTTGGAGCTGAATCAATCTTTTTTGAAACTTATACTATTTACATGTAAATAGTAGAAATTTGCCTTCTGTCTGCCATTAATGAAATACCTGGACTGGTTAAGAAGTCGTATACTTACGAGGTGTGTCAAAGGGATAGACCAGCATCCCACACAAGTTAAATGAGTTCCTAAATGTATATGTGATCGCAGATTTTTTCTTGTTGAAGATCTTTGTCACCTGAAAGTAATGATTTAAACAAAGCTGTTAATAACTTTTACATCAATACAGAAATTTTGAATACTACATATTTTTTACTTACTTTTTTGTTTGAAATAACATTTCTGATATCATAAATAAAATGTGTTCAATATTTCTATAAACTGCATTGTTTTCTAAGTTTCAACTGACAGTCTGTGAATTATCAAGTGGTTTATAAACAAAGTTGCTACATGTGTATGTCTTATTATGCACTGTCTTAAATTCAATGAATAAAAGGCTCTTGTTGGTATTTTTCAATCTAGAACTGCATTGATTTGATTGTTTATTGAACTATTTCAAAATGCTGGTACAGGGGTGATTCCATTATTGAGGGAGATTCACTTACCACAAGGATATCATTGAATAGGAAGACCTCCCGCTGGTGTAGCCCAAGCTTCTCTTTCTTGTTAGGGTCATGAACCTCGTATAAGCGACAGTAGCATACTAGACGTCTGTGAGGCAGTGACAATTGCTAGAAGCAGATAAATATGGAATAAATTAAAAAAATAACTGAATAAATACAGAGTGAATCACTTAACTTTGGTTCTGCTGTTTTGTAAATTTTTAGGTTTTTCCCTTTGCATTCATATCTAATGAAAAAAATTTTGCATGAACATGTATAACTTCTTTGTTAGTGGTTTTCACATTTCTACTCTTTATTTAGAGCTCTAGCCAGCTTACAGGGTATTCAATAAATCAAAAAGGTATAAGTTCAATTCTATGAATGAATGCATGAATGAACCAAGCACTCAGAAGGGAAACAGGTGATTCAAAAAGATGGCAACAATTTCAGTTGGTAGATTGACCAAAACAGGTGTGTGTTAAATCTTGCTGGTATTCATGCAGTGTCTATGTATTTCTGGAACAACAGAGGCACAAACTGTGGTTGAATTGAGGTTTGTTTTTGTAAGTGCCTTTGAGACTGTAAAATGACTTCATTGATCAAAAGTTCACAAAAGTTGACGACATTTCAAAATGTGAGAATGCTTTTGAGGTTTAACGTTACTTTGAAAGTGCCGATATCATTTCTTGAACTCATGATATAGAGATGATTGAAAGTTACAATGACATAACCACATTTCCCTCAGACATAACACTAGACATAATTCTTTACAATAACATATCTTTTACATTGCTATGACATTTCCCATACCAGATTTACAGGCAATCACCCTTTGCAATGGGTTGATCTGCCTCTTTTAAGAGAGCTTCATTTTATCTACTACGCTCTAACAATCTTGGTATTGGATCCTGATGTCTTAGAAAAATATGAAGATCCAAAGGTTATGTATGCACAAATTATGAGCCTTTCAACATTTGTGGATTGGTTTAATTACAAGCATTATAAAAGAAAATCTAATTTCCGCTAACATTTATACCTTATTCTCATTCTCTATGGCTCTTTATAATGAAAATGAAATGGAAAAGTCATATTTCTATTGACATTAATGAAAGAAACGAGGCAGAAATAAGATATTGTAGTGAACGGGTTTCAAAGCCATAAGGATGAAACTGACATAACAGAAACAATATATTTGACAGTCTTTTAACATTTCATGATTTTCTGGCATTTCCTAGTAATTTAAAATGTCAACTTCATTTATTTTTCACATTTCCTCCCTTACACTCCATTTTTAGTGTCTTGAAAAATAGGTTGAAAGAGAGAGGGGCAATTTATCATTTCGGGATATATCCGAAAAAGGTGTTGCTACTTCATTGTTACTTACGGGTTTCTTGCCGACGATTGTCTGTTCAACCTTCTGGACTTGTGTGACGTGATCAGTGCCAGATTTGAACTCATGAGCTTTCACTCGCTCATAGATGCCTACTAGCATGTCCCTGTCTACATCGCAGCCTTCATCAATACCTGGAGAAATAAAAATCATTGAAATTTAAAATGTGTAAATTCTTTAACATTGAGGGGGAGATAGGGGGGTATCTTGAACTTTAAAAAAGCATCAGAGCATGGCCACACAAACAGGAATATCTTAAAACTATGACAAAGCCATAGATGTCCAAAATTATATTCCTTAAACTTTTTTACTATAATCTCTGTTTGAATGACTTGATATACATTACTGTGTTATGTTTTAGTTTATAAAACACTGGAGTGTTTTTTATTTACTTGGTATTGTATTACCAAGTGTTTATTTTTTAATATGTAAAATACTTGACAAACTAAACACATGTGGCGGACCTACCTCTGAGATTCTTGATAAATTCATGAACCTTCATCTTGCGTTCTTGTTTGATACTAGAATTATGGAGGTCTGTGTTGAGCATAATGATGGCAAAGGCGAGCAGGAATACAGTGTCGGCGCTGTGAAAGTTCTTCACTGTATCACTGTTACAAATGCAGTATCTGTGAGCGAAGGCATCCATTAGCCGTTCTATCTTCTGTGCCTCCCCCTAGAATAAGATAACAATCAAATTTAAAGAGGCATGAGCTGATCTGATGGGTAAAGTAGCAAAATAAAAGTGTGTGGATAAAACTACTTTGTTAATTTGGGAATGTCTAAATCGCTCGAACTTTCCTTTAGATAAACTTTAAGTATATTACACTTTCATACTAATGATATTGGGCCAAATTACACTGCTAATAATAACAAATATTTAACGCTTTACTTACTGGCATGCGGAAAAATGTCTGGAACTTTCTGAGGGCGACATCTATTGAGAGCCCTGATAGGTCAATCTCATCGACAAAGCAACTGAAAACACAAACACATATTTTCAAGATCAATATGCAATGTGCAGACAATCTTTGAGCATTTTCAACTAAGTTGTGACAGATGAATATTCCTGGATGTAGGATTAGCAAATACAGGGTTCAAAAGTTGAAATTGGAATTTTTGATTGAGTTCCTCTTCATGAATATTAGCTCATTGGTGGGAGTCAATTAGATTCATAGCAGTGTCATCAATCATTCTAAGCCACCTACTAGCAGACAGATTTTTTCAGGTTTTCAGATATCTCTCCAAAATTTGGATGAAGTGTCTGATTTTTCTGCATTTCTCTACAATTTTGAGTATCGACTATATGCCTGTTTATTCTATTCCTCACCAATTCTTCTCGTTTCTCTCTCAAATTTGAATGAACTACATGATTTTCTTGCATTTTTATACAATTTAGAGTGTCAACTACAGTGCTATTTACTTTAATTCTTGGCAATTCCTCTTTTTCCACTCTGTTCTGCATTTAGAAACATGATCACATTTCTATTTACGACCAGATAATTGCACGCTGTACACTGATACCTAAGGTCATGTCAACCTCCATTACCTGTGAGTGAAACATTGGCTCCTGTTTTTGTTTGTAAAATAGAGCGGAAAGGAGTGAAATAGCAAGGAATGAATTTAACATGCGTGACGTAGAAATGCTAAATTGTATAAAAATCCCGGATAATCCACAATTCATTCACATTAAAGGGAGATTGTATCGAAAAGGAATGAGACAAGAGAAACTTTATCTGATATTCTGAATAACTTGGGAAATATTTCATCTTCAGTCTAATGATGCGAAACGCAGTTGGTTGCATTCACTTATGAACTTTCTCCCCACGATTTGTAAGTTAAACTTGAAGAATTATGGGTACATATATTCCAAAACCTACGTGGGTAATGTATATGCGATGACAGGTGAACGCATCACCTGCTACATATTCTATTAAGTAGGAAAATATGAATTCCTACATCGCATATTGCATTTCTGAATAACATTTATCATTGGAAATACTAAATGGTATTTTTATCGCTGATTTAAATATGAAAGATTGCCCCTTCACATCCAATAAAAATTCTGTGCATTTATAGTAAATCATGTAGTTTTGACATCCTGTAATGCAAAATATGATTCATTTGGTTACGCTTATTCCGCAGGATTTCTCTCTAAAATTTGAATAAAGTGTTTGATTTTTTTGTATCCCTGTATAATTTAGAGTGTGGACTATTTGCCTGTTTAGTTTATTCCTTGCTAATTTCTCTCCTTTTCAGTCTATTTCATATTTCAAAACATGACTGCCATTACATTTTTACTCAAAATGAAAACTCACTCTAAACAGTCCATATTGAAATCATTCTGGAGATTGCCCAAGTAGTCTCCAATGTGGTACTTGCTGAGGCCTTTCCTGGAGATGAGGAATCTTGCAACTGCACTTGGAGAATGCTCTAGGAATCTACGCTCAATCAGGTACCAGATTCCTTTGTCAGGTTTTCTGCAATGGAGATGGAAAACAAATTAAAGATGATTTACAGTATTTAAAAGCATATTGTCCCTTCTAAAGAATTGTAGGCCCAGGATTGTAGGGATAGTTCAGACTTGGCACCCAACTATGGAGGATGGCACTTACAGTATAGCATATTGTAGAGTTCAGACTTGATACCCAGTTATGGAGGATGTCACTTCATTGAACTATAAAATTGAACACAGACAGGTTTTCATCAAGACTTCTTATTATAAAAAATAAAAATCCAATGTACCCAATCAAAAATGCATTTGAAATGACAAACTGGTGACTGAACATAAAATGAGCAATTCATAGATGAGAGGGCAGTCATGCCAGCAGGCTGGTAGTACATGTATATTTAGAAAGGAGATGCAATTAGAAGATGGCAGAATTATCTTCAACTGCCATGTCTATGTACAGATAACCAAGAGTCCCAGATACACATAGCCCTATACCAAGAATACCTTCCCCAAGTCACAGGTCAACAAACCCTACTTGTTAAAAATAATGATGCAAATATGGTCACTAAACATTTTTTCATTAGCAACTTCCTTCTATTTAGCAAGATTCTATATATGGGACAATGTAGGAGGTATATATTTTCTCAGGGTGAGAAATCAAACACGTAAAACTCAAAATAAAGTGATTAACATAGTATATATTATTTGTAAACAATAAAAAAAACTGCAGATGCTTTAACCATTATGAAGTTTATGACTGGCTTCTAATGGTAAAAATCTAAACAAATGCATTCTTCTGCCAATATTAGGTTATTTCCCCATAAAACTCAATATCTACAATGTTTCATACTCCGAAGCACATTTTTAATAAAAGTTCTTCATTAATTTTGATTAATGACAATATAACAGATTCCCAAATCCGACATTAACTGGCCTAATAAGGAAAGATTTCTCGGAATTTGATGCAATCAGTTGAAGAATGTTAACTTCTCCATGGTAACATATTGATTTTCTAACGATCAAATTGGAAAAATTTGAAATGACAATATGAGGACCTCTATTTCCTATGCTATGTCCCCATGAGGATTATAAACCGAATACAACTCAATTTACGTAAATGGAATGTAAATCTAGAAAATCGTCTATCTAATAGGGTAAATGTAGACAAAATTCTGGGAAGGCCTTTGCAGAAAATTAGTTTTAAAATGATCAATGCCATGCATGTTTCCGCTTAATCAACAAAGCAACAAATGTCAAGGTCATTATTTTATCTTGCCGATTTCTGATATAGAGCTTTACTTTAGTTAAACTTTAGGATTTCTAATTTTTTATGGTATGACTGTTTTGAGCAAGGAAATATTAAATGGAAGACTTTTGACATTAATATAAAATATATATTCATATGAGAAGACTTAGAAATATTGTCAATGAATATATCAGTCAGGGGACTTGATAAAATCCCCACTATCACCACCCTCCTTACTCTGCCCCACTCTCCCCTATCACCCCTCCCCCAAACATTTTTATTCAGTAATTTGATAAACATCAAGTTTACTGAAGTCTTGAAATAATATGGTGAAAAAATAAGTGCCAGAAATTTGTCATTTATAACATTACGTTTATTGTTTTTATGGCATTAGTGACCCAATGGGTTATCAAACATTGATGAAATAAAAAAAGGGAGGGGGGGAATTTCTACAAGGAAGGTATGCATTTATGCATTCCCTACCTCACGATAATAGATATTTCTGAGTGTGTGGTCCAGTAATTAAAGTACCAGAGCTTACAGAGAGCAAGCAAGAAAGTAACTAGAAACAATAGTGTCTTAATTAGAACCCAAAGGTTAACCTGGTGTTCCTTTCCAACCAAGGGCTTGTAATAATCTGCTTATATACGTCATGTGGCTAGACTCGCTAATCCGGGATGTTGATTTATTTGATTTCACTGATTATGCTATGAATTCAAGTGTTAGCGGATAACACTGTTAATATACTGTATAATATTCTTATTGTTGCGCACAGCAAACATTCAGATGCATCCCTGGATAGGATGTATCGAAGAAAACCGTTAAACGGTTAAAACGGTTTCAGTTGTTAAACAGATCCAGTAGAGTCATTATAACTTTAAACAGCTGATAAAGACATCAAGGGCACCTTAGTCGTTTAAACTTTTTAAACAAATAGTATCAGCTATCAGTGAAAAACAATAGCTTATTCAATACCAACGTGGTCTTTAACCTCTACTGTTGTGTTAAAGTCAACTAGTGCAATAAGGCACATAACAGACCATTTTATAAAATTCATTATTTCAAACTTTATCAATATACATGTAGTAAGCTTGGTTTTAAAGTTTATGGACATTATGATATTCATCATTCATTAAGTGGTAGTTTGTTGAGCGTATACTTACTTATTGAATAGATTGAGGCCAATCCTGTACTGCCTTTTACGCTGTTTGTCAGATATCTTAGGTGGCGCTCTAAGCGGGGGTTGAACCATGTTTGGTGGCAGTTTCTGGTACCCCGTTCCCATACTATGCTCACTTCCCATACTGATATTGTCTGAACTTGGGGAGCTAGAAACTGCTCCTTCTAAACTATCTGGTTCACTAGCTTCAGAAATATTACTCATGCGTTTATCGTCGAGACTTCCAAGGGAACCCTGACTGCAGGTACCATGGTTACCTAGGTTATTATGGGATGTATCTATGGATCGGGCTTGAGGACTTGGGCCTGGACCTCCCCCTTGTTTTCGCTTCCAAATGGGTGAAGCGTGGGGTCCCCTTCCTTGAGTAGTACCTACTTCACTTATACATTCTTCTTCAATGATAGGATCGCCATTATAGTGGCTATCATTTGTTAAAGTTTTGTTGCTGTCGCCACTTTGTTGCCGCCATCTATTATTTCTAAGTTTAACTTCTGTATTGGCATAGACTTTAATAAGCTCCATAGGAGCAGGGTACTCTATATTATCTATATCAAATGTATCCTCTTCGACATTCTCCTCAGTTGGGGTTGGACCTTCAACCTTAATTTGCACATCAGTTAAAAATGAATCAGAGTCTAAAGACCCTGCGGAACAATGACTCCTGAAACGTTCATATGAGCGATCTGATTGGTCAAACTCCATTGGTGAATTGAGATTATCGCTACTACGTTGTGAAGAGTCACTATCTCTTGTTAACGTCCTTTCTTGAGAGTGTCGACTAGTTAGACTAGATTGACTACTCCCTTGACTGTTTGGATACATACCCTGTTCATGTGAATTGTTCGCTTGTTGTTGAGATACATTTGATGAGCTATTAAGACTGCTAAGATCACTATGAAAGCTATCACTGAGGATATCAGTTTCTTTGCTCTCAAGTAAGTTTTCAAAGTTAACACTTGGGAGATCTATGGTGCTTTCTGACGGGGTATCTGCAGGGGAGGCACTTGCGCTACTGTCATTAAGCTCTGGGTAAGAGTTCCTATTATTATTGGTCTCCTCGTGTGGTTGTTGCCTTATAGGTAAATCCCTTATTGGTTTTTTAGTAGCACTACTGGTACGTTTTGGCATTGGGGGAGGGGGTCTAGCTTTAGTGGGTGGGCCTGTGGGGTGAGGCTTGGCATGACCATGACCCACAGGGTGGCCATTAGAAAGGTCCATACCCTGTCCCCTTTGGAGGGGTTTCCGCATGTAGATATGCTCCTGACCAGACGTTGAGGATATAGTCCCTTGGCGTAATGTTTGACGTGCATGTTGCGGTGTAGCTGCCTTCATGAAATTTTCATCTTGGCCTAAATTTTTCCGTAATTTGTTAATTTCCATATACTGTTGTCGTGCAAACATTGTCGATTCCATGCGACTGTGATTAGTCGCCATATTAAATGACGTCTCCTGAAGGACAACCATTTCCTTCATTGCGGCATCCCGCCATCCATTATTCGAGGCATCCATTTCAGAGTAACCTCTTGTGAGATGCTTTCTTTTCTCTGATTTAACACTTCGCATTTTTTCAAAGTTTTTACTCATAGTATACTTGCGATAAGCTTGTTGAATTATCCTTGCAGCCCGTTTTGCACGTAAATGTCCGCCATATTTCCTCTCTAACATTTCCAGTTGTTTTTCATGTAAATCAGATGATAACTCATATTGTGTACTCCAGGCTCGAGATCGTTTAATTGTGACATCATCATCATTACGTTTACTATAAGACCGTTGTCTGTTTAATCTCGCATTTGAGCTAACACTGCGTTGATGTTTAAGTCCTGTACTGGGTGTATCCTGGGGTGAGGTACTATTTGGTGATCCCCCTACAGAACTTGATCTGAACTTGTTGGTCTCTAACTGCCCCGTATCTGGCCCCGTCGCTTGACTACTGAAAACATACAAATAAACATATTAAATAAATATAATATATTCATTGATAACACTCTCATACATGTATATTACAGATTTGCTTTGCATAGAATCACCTCACATCCTTTCACATAAAAAGAACTTACAAAACCGTTCACCTGATCTAAATTCGTCTGATTTACTGCATAACATAGAGCTGAAATATGAAGAAATATAAAAATATTTAGACAAAATATAAAATATGAATTCTACCTGAAATTGCAAACCTTCCAAGATATGTGTAACACCTTCTGTGTTATTCTTGGCAAAATAAGACCCCGACCAACCGCACACAGGCTTTCAAACATACATTTATTGACAACCAACTAACCAAAAGGTCTAATCCTGCTTTATGTCATTTTTGTTGGTTTTCTTTTTAAAATTTGAATGAACCTCACAATTTTCTTGCATTTCCATACAATTTAGAGTATGACCTTCATCAGTGTGGTTTCATTCCTTGCTATTCCATGTATTTTTCTCTGTATTCCATGAAACAAACCACAACTTCACAACATATTCAAGGAGCTATCAACCCAAATATAACATGATACAATCCCAAGATACCTGGTCTATAAAAACAGACACTGATGGATAAGTAAATCCAAAACCTTGTAACTCTCAGTAGGTCTTCTATGTCAACAACTCAATACACTTTAAAAGTACACAGTAAAGTCTACATTTCTAGCTAAACAGTCTATTGGTAAACTATTGCCTTATATCGTCTTATGTTGAAAAGTACCAAAATAATTTCTGGACAATTTTTATATTATTTTTTTTAAAATGCTTTTAATTTCATGAACAATCCTTGGCAATGTAAATCAGGGTTATTTAAAAATTTTGGTTTTTGCAGTACATACATATTTTCTATTGTGTCATGGCTATTTATTAGCATAGCCCCCCCCCCCCTCCCCCTATTATCTGCCTTGTAATTGATCTGAGAGAAGAGAAAAACAGTTCATTTGCATTCATAAAGTACATATCAATATGTTTGTGTTCTAACCATAGAGGACCCCCTTACATCATATGACGCACAAACATATCCTCATCTCCTGGAGACTAATAAGACAATCTGCAATCTATAAATTAATTAATGTTATGCTAATTAAATTAAGGAAATTAAAACAGGATATTCTAACATAAAAAAGCTTCCTGTGGCTAAGTTAGAACAATTAATCTCGTGTTTGCATGAAAAAATCGAGACTGGCACCACTTGATTACAGTACAGGTATACAAAGTGTAATCACAATTCCAAATAAACATCATTTCTCTCTGGGGTCATGCATATAACATATGATTTCTCTCTAAACTTTGAATGAATTGCCTGATTTTCTGGCATTTCTATACAATTTTGAGTATCAACTACATGTCTGTTGACTTTATTCCTTGCTGATTTTTCTCATTTTCAATTTATTTTCTATTTTAAAACTTGACCCTTGATACACTCCAAGACACTTCATTCCAAGAACCTATATCCCAAGTGCACCATAAGTGTGTAAAAGAGGAACGTTGTAACGGAAAGTTTGACACACACGATAACAACCCTACTCGTATTAACAAAACACGATCCAGTTTTGTTGATAACTCCTACATATCAGTCCCAAAATACCTGGTTGCGACTAAAGATTCAGACCCTATGTTTATTTTCTCCCGTGTTATCATTCAGAGTTTATTTTGGCACATGTTATATTTGTTGATAGGTAGTAGAAAGGTGATATTTCAAATTCGGGGTACCTGAGAGTGTTAAGTTCAGCTGGCATGAGTCATGAGCCTGCGGGTCAAAGGGGATAGGAAATGTTACCTTTGCGATATCTTTTCCAGGTTTTAATGGCCAACTTCTGAAAATACTGATTAGGATTTCCAAGATCAAATGACTCCTTCCTGTGGTTCAGCTGCACCAATTTACACACAAAATTCAATATGAGATTTAATACAGGGGAAGTCAAGCTTGGATGAGCCATAATTATCCTACTTTCTCCTAAAGGAGTAGCTTCAATCTAACCTATCCTGGAGGAGAAACCTCATTGTCAGAAACCTTTTTGTTGATTATTTTAAATCAAAAATGCTATACCTTATATTCTAAGTATATGAGGATAATATGCTACCAATACTATTTCATTTTCTCTCAAGTGTCACTTACCACAACTCACATTATTAAAAATAAAAACAATCTAAAAATCAAAATCTTGATTCATCCAATTGAAGTTAAGAGTCTCATAGGCTAATTAGACTGGTACAGCTGCCTTATATAGCTACTGATAGCCTAATACATTACCTCTACTGAGATAAACATAAATTCACAATTTTGAAATCGGAAGTAAGAAATAAATACCTGAATCTTTTAGTACCACAGGTGCAACAGCGACATTTCACCCTCATGTTGTTCAAAATACTACTAATTCACTTTTTCCCAGAATGATATAAACCTCCTGTATCCAGCGGTGATGTTTCACACAGGTAAGCCAACATTTAATGAGTTTACCTAAACTCTAACCATGTTAGATGCCATCGTTTATCTACCTTCGTTATATAGAAGGAAGGCCTACTGCGAATACAATACCATATATCAGAGACACATTTTTGCAAAAACTCCATCAAAAAGAGATAAATCAACGAGATACTAGCCACCAAATATAAAGTTTGTGTTCTAGATTGTACAAAAAGTCAGAAATATTTAGATCTATTCAAGTTTTAAGGAGAAAAAGAAAGAAAAAAGTGAGATTCATGTGATTTTTTGGATGGGATTGGAATTAAAGATTATGACATCAAGCAGATGAGCCATTTTTATCTTAATCCAACCTTTTCCCATTAATAACATACTTACCAGTGATATTCATAAGTAAAACTATGTCTCACATTTGTGAAGAGGTTCATATGAAAGTCTATTGGTAAGGAAATAATTCTGGAATTGTGCTGATAAAGCCAGTTGAAAACTAATGGTAACACCCCCTCCCCCACTTAACTACAGGATTATTGTGTAAAAACTTTTATTGCTGTTTAAATTTCAATCTAAATTCAAATTTTTAAAATAAATTTATTACATACACGTATAAATATCATATAATCATATTAGAGAATATAATAACTAATAATAACTATTTAAATGTAAATATTGTAGCTGCTCCTTCTGCCATTGAGCTATTATCTTGGAACCAATATGCTATTAAAGTTAACCACTGAGATAAGCCCTATAAACAATAGCAACATCTTTGATTAACAGGCACAGTGCCACTAATGAGTTGGTGTAACTGGAAACTTAATTGATAAGTATTTCTCCTTTGCTACAACCCCCATGACTATATATATTTGTGTGAGTGGGAGGGGAGGTGTGCATAGTGGGGGGGGGGAGCTAATACAGAAACAGGATGCGATAAGTTAATAGGAAATTATATGTAGGCTAATTAATGCAGTAAATACTATAAATAATATGCTATTATGTACATTATACTTACCTTCTGTATTACATTGATTAAAGAATTAATTATTTATAATAAGTCTATACAATCACCCCCCCCCCTCCCTCACACTCTTATTGCCAGTAGTCCACATCTCCCTTAAGTTAAACCATTGTCTCCTTAAGGAGAAACTTCTACCAATCAAAAACAATCAACTTTAATTCTTATAAAACATCAGTTACTTACCAAATTCCAATAATTTAAAGTAAGTACATGTGAGAATGCATATAATAAATAAATACATAAGTGTGTGTACTAAAAGTGAAGATAAATATAAACTGATGCAACAGATGTGTAATAAGCCAGGAATTTTTAATTAGATAGGATGCACTTATTGACACAATTTTCCCTGGAGGATACTATGTTATGCTAGACTTTTCTCTATGTAAGCCAACATCAAATTGAATAAACATAATCATTTCCAAAATCTGAAGTTGCCTTAAATATGTAATTATATTAAGTAAAATAAATGTTTGATATAAAATAAATTGATTTACTAAAACCAAATGGATACACAAAAATATTTCCATGATTATCATCTAAATATGTCAGTTATCAATGTATACTTTGAACTAGACCAGAGTTAAGCCTAGAAGTCAAATGTAGGTGGCCGTGTTATGATTTAATTTGGAAAATAAAGTAGAACTAAAAAAACAAGTAAGAATAAGGTTGAAAGACATGTAGTCAACTATAAATGCAAGAAAAACAGTTCCTTTAATCAAATTTTAGAGAGAATTTGCTGGAGAAAGAAAGAGCAGATGACCTTTTAGCACTCGACTGAGTTCTCCCCCAACTCCCACTCAACCTATTTGCTTTATACTTCCCAGAATCCCAGAAAATGATAAGGCGTATCTTTTGAGACCATGCTAATCATAATCAGGTTATCAGGTACCATTTTTCCAAAGAACTAAATCTCTGACAATGACAAAGATTTAAAAGAGGTTTATCTATACTTGCCTAAATGGTAATTTTCTGTTATAAATGAAAAAAGCATTCTCACTTATTTTGGGATCAAAAGAGGAAGTTTCAGATATTCAGATCCAGGGAATTATAATTTCTTGCGTTAATCGACCAATAGGAAACCAGTATTGCAGACCATAGATGACAAAGCACAGAACAGGCATGATAAATCATGATGGTAAAAAATTCTTCGCTTGGTTCACGATTTTACATTTTTTTATGATTAATGAATTTAAAATACGATTTTCAGGAAATGGCCCCTGGAGAGAGACTATGTCAAAGGAAATGAGACTAATAAAAAGACATTGCGATCAAATCTAATAAGGAACATTTGTCTTATGACTTATAAAACTTATTACAGTGTAAGCTAAACTTTGCTACAGATGGCTTATCACTCTCTCTCCTGATTACCTCATTAAGTGAATGTTTATCTTTATTAAGATTATATCTCCTTTAATCATCATATAATCCAACATGAAAGCTGTTATCTTGCTTACACTGAATATGTTTGCTTACAAACTGGAAGGAAATCTCCAAGGTTGCACAAGATCTGAACTTACTTACCATT